CACCATGATATTATAAGTAATATCTCACTTAGATTTTAGAAATAATATCATCACAGAGTGTACACCCATTATGATATTAGGAGTAATAGCTCCCTTAGGTACTAGGAATAATATCATCACAGGTATGCACCCACTGTGATATTATGAGTAATATCTCTTTTAGATATTACAAATAATACCACAGGCTGTACACACACTGTGATATTATGAGTAATATCTCCTTTAAATATTACAAATAATATCATCACAGGATCGACACCCACTGATATTGTGATATTAGGAGTAATATCTCTCTTAGATATTGAAAATAATCTCATCACAGGCTATACACATACTGTGATATTAGGATTAATGTCTCCCTTAGATACTATGTTCATATCATTACAGGGTGTACACCCACTCTGATATTAGTAGTAATATCTCCCTTAGATATTTCAAATAATCTCATCACAGGGTGTACACTCACTGTGATATTAGGAGTAAAATCTCCTTAGATATTACAAATAACATCATCACAGGGTGTACACCCACTCTGATATTAGGAGTAATATCTCCCTTAGATAATATGAATCATATCATCACAGGGCGTACACCCACTGTGATATTAGGAGTAATATCTCCCTTCCATATTATGAATAATATCATTACAGGGTGTACACCTACTATGATATTAAAACTAATTTCTCTTCAGTATTACTAATATCATAACAATATCATCACAAGGTGTATACACATGGTAACATTAGGAGTAATGTCTCCCTTTGATATTACAAGTAATATCATAGCAGCCTTTACACCCACTGTTATATTAAGAGTAATATCACCCTTAGATATTATGAATAATATCACCACAGAGTGTCACCCACTTACCCACTGTGATATTAGGAATAATATGTTCCTTAGATATAGTGAATAATAACATCTCAGGGTCCTCATCCACTGTGAAATAAGGAGTAATCTCTTTCTTAGATATTACAAAAAAATAAAGTCACAGGGTCTAGTCATTCCTAATATCAAAGCCAGTGTACATACACCCTGTAATGATATGATTTACTACTCATATGATATTACTAGTCACTCCTAATATCACAGTCGGGGTAAACGCTGTGATTATGTTATTCATAATATCTAAAGGAGACATGACTCCCAATATGACCTTGGGTGTATACCCTGTGTATATACCCTGTGATATTATTCGTAGTATCTCTCTTAGATATCTCTCATAATATCTAAGAGAGATATTACAAGTAATATCATCACATGGTGTACACTTGTGGTATGTATTAGTGTCTAATTAGAGATATTAGTATGATATTATGAATAATATCATACGATATACACACAGGGTGTACACCCACTGTGATATTAGGAGTGATATCTCCTTTGATATTATGAGTAATATTATCAAAGAACATATATCCACTGTGATATTAGGAGTACTATCTCCCTTAGATATTATCAATAATAATACAGCGGGGTGTACATTCACTGTGATATTAAGAGTAATATCTCCCTCAGATATTACAAATCATATCACAGGGTGTATACCTACTGCAATATTAGGAATAATGACTCCTTTAGATATTATGAATTACGTAATCACAAGGTTTACCTGACTGTGATATTAGGAGTAATATCTCCCTTAGATATTATGAATCATATAATCACAGGGTGTACACCCACTGTGATATTAAGAGTAATATCTTCCTTATATATTATGAATCACATCATGACAGGGTTTACAGCCAGTCTGAAATTAAGAGGAATATCTTCCTTAGATATTAAGAATCGTATCATCACAGGGTGTCCCCCCACTGTGATATTAGGAGTAGTATCTCCCTAAGGTATTATGAATAATATCACAGAGTGTATAACCACTGTGATATTAGGAGGAATATCTCCCTTAGTTCTTATGAATAATAAAATCATAGAGTGTACATCCTCTGTGATATTTAAAGTAATATCTCCCTGAGACATGACGAATAATATCATCACAGGGTGTAAACCCACTGTGATATTAGGAGTAATTTCTCTCTTAGATATTATGAATAATATCATCAAAGGGTATACACCCACAGTGATATTAGGAGTCATATCTCAGATATTATGAATCATATCATTACAGGGTATACACCCACTGTAAATTACAAGTTATTTCCCTTAGATATTATGAATAATATCACAGGGTGTACACCCACTGTGATATGAGAAGTAATATATCCCTTTGATATTATGAATAATATCATCTACTATAGGCACCTGCTACCACGGCCGGCTATTTTTTGTGTATTTTTAGTAGAGATGGGGTTTCACCATATTAGCCAGGATGGTCTCAATCTTCTGACCTCGTTATCCACCCGCCTCGGCCTCCCAAAGTGCTAGGACTACAGGCATGAGCCACCATGCCCGGCCGCCCCTATACTCTTAAGTATGGTTTTATTTCGTTGTTTTGAATAGTTCTCGAGATTTCGGTTAAATTTATATCCAGTAGAATTTCTGTTTTTCTCCAGTAGAATACTTCTCTCATTTGATGATGAAATCCAGCATATTAAATAAACCATAGTAACACCAGTGTTTCTAGGTTCTTCCACGTCCATGTGTCTGTAAGAACACAATCCTCTGTGGACATTTATTGAGTCCCCACTCTCAGCTGGGCACTGCAGAGAGTTTATTAACAAAAAGAGAAGGTGGCTGGCTGCAGAGGCCTGTAATCCCACCATTTTGGGAATCCAAGGCAGGAGGATCGCTTGAGCCCAGGAGTTTGAGTCCAGCCTGGGCAACAGGGCAAAACCTTGTCTCTACAAATAAATTAGTTGAGCATTGTGGTGTGCACCTGTAATACAAGCTACTCAGGACGCTGGTGTGAGAGGATAATTTGAGCCCCAGAGGCAGAGATGAGGTAAGATGGCACCACTGCACTCCAGCCTGGGCAACACAGCCACGCTCTGTCATAAATAAATAAATAAATGAAGGCAGTGGCTCTTGTTCTTCAGATGCTCCTGTTTGTGATGTGTGAGTGTGGGACAGACTCCATCAGAAATCTTATTTTCTCAGCTTCTGCTCTGGGTAAAGACCAGGCCCCTGAGACTGTATTAAAGGGAAGCTTGTCATCCAGACACTTCATAAGGAAACAGAAGACCTCAAGAAAGCTTCCCTCAATCAGTATCACTGTCCATTTTCCTCCCTGAGTCATAGCCTGGATGGGTGGGAACCAGGTCGTCACTGGACCATCCGTGTGGACAGCACAGGAACTGAGACTGGAAATGAAGGAAGTGAGTCCTTTAGGTTGTTGGTCTCCAGGGAAGAGGGGCAAGGCTTCAGCATCTTACAGTCTCTGCTGTTTCCTAAAATAAACCTTTTTCAGGACGAAGAGCTATTTCATGCTCTGTTCCACTGTCTGTCCATTATTAAGGCAGTAGGTCTTTGGCTTCATCTTATTCAGGGAAATAAATGTTTATACTGATGGCTCAGAATGCAGTGGTCTAGAATGAAGAATGTGGCACTTTTACTAAAGGTAAAACTGCAGATGTGCCACTAGAAGATAGCTCTAAAACGTTGTGGCCTTTTAAGCCAAGCATAGTGGCGTGCACCTGTGGTCCCAGCTACTTGAGAGGCTGAGGCTGGAGGATGGCTTGAGCCCAGGAGTTTGAGGCTCAGGGAGCTATGATCATGCCTATGAATCGCCACTGTGCTCCAGCACAGGCAACATAGCAAGACCCTGTTTCTAAATCAATAATAAAAATTTTAATAATTGTGGTCTTCTTAGTTATTACCACTGGCTGAGCCACCCTCTTTTCTCCCCCAAGTTACTGTAGTGGCCTCCTCACTAGAGGTCTGGCACCGAATCTGGCCCCTCTGAGTGAATAAGTGAATGTTTGATGTGTCTCTTAAGACTTCAACTCAATCTGTTGACTATAACAGGTATTTAGTGCAACGTAGTTAAGAAAAGCAAATATGAGCCAGGCGCAGTGGTTCAAGCCTGTAATCCCAGCATTTTTGGAGGCCAAGGGGGGGTGGATCACCTGAGATCAGGGGTTTGAGACCAGCCTAGCCAACATGGCGAAATGCCGTCTCTACTAAAACTACAAAAATTAGCCAGGCGTCATGGTGGGTATCTACCCAGCTACTCAGGAGGCTGAGGCAGGAGAATTGCTTGAACCCAGGAGGCGGAGGTGGCAGTGAGCTGAGATCACACCATTGCACACCAGCCTAGGTGACAGGAGCAAAACTCCGTCTCAAAAATAAAAGAAAGAAAGAAAGAAAAGAAAAGTAAAGAAAACAAAATACGATTCTGATCATTACCAGACAGAAACATTTTACTTTATTTTACATGTTTTTCTTTTTTTTTTTTGAGACGGCGTCTCGCTCTGTCGCCCAGGCTGGAGTGCAGTGGCGCAATCTCGGCTCACTGCAAGCTCCACCTCCCGGGTTCACGCCATTCTCCCGCCTCAGCCTCCGAGTAGCTGGGACTACAGGCGCCCGCCACCACGCTCGGCTAGTTTTTTTTTGTATTTTTAGTAGAGACGGGGTTTCACCATGTTAGCCAGGATGGTCTCCATCTCCTGACCTCGTGATCCACCCGCCTCGGCCTCCCAAAGTGCTGGGATTACAGGCTTGAGCCACCGCGCCCGGCCTACATGTTTTTCTTTTATTAATCAGCTTTCTCAGGTTGAAGGAAACATTTTCATGAGTTTGTTTCCATCCATCTGATGACTAATTTTTGTTTGTTTGTTTGTGTGTTTGTTTGTTTGTTTGTTTTAGCTGGAGTTTCACTTTTGTCATCCAGACTGGAGTGCAGTGGTGTGATCTCGGCTCACTACAACCTCCACTGGCTGCGTTCAAGCAATTATCCTGCCTCAGCCTCCCGAGTAGCTGGGATTACTGGCACCTGCCACCATGCCTAGCTAACTTTTTGTATTTTTAGTGGTGACGGGCTATCACCATGTTGGCCAGGCTGGTCTTGGACTCCTGACATCATAATTCACCCACCCTGGTAAATTCCAAAGTGCTGGGATTACAGGCTTGAGCCACCGCTCCTGGCAGACCACTAACTTTTGCTGAGCCTCTCCTGCATTCTGTTTTCTTCACATCAGGCACCGGGCAGCTCCTGGTATGTAGGTAACTTGGTAAGACATGATGTTCTTTGCCTCTGAGGAGCTTACAGAGTGATCAGGACAAGAGATCTGTGAAGAGATCATTACAGCATGACTCTACAAAGAATGTGTAATGGGAACATGCAGAGGGAACAATTACCTCTTCTTTCTTGGGATGGGGGAGGAATAGAACTAGTTTTTCAGAGATAAACAGCATAGTCTCAACCTAAAGAGACACACATTCCAGGCAGAGGAGACAATGTGCACAAGCACAGGCCTGGCCAGGGAACAGTGAGCAGTAGGCAGGAGCGGGGGTGAAAGGAGGCTGGGGCCCACAGTGGCGGGTCTCATATGTAGGCTAAGGAAGTAATCCTTTATCCTCTAGGAGCCAAAGAAGCATTCTACATAGGCGGATCTAGTAACTCCAGCAGCAGGGTAGATGATGGTTTGGAGTAAGGAGAGAGCAGAGACAAGGAAACCAATAGGAGGCTGTGGCCAAGGTCCAGGAGACACTGAGAGTCTGAGATAATGTCTTAAATCTTGTGAAGTGGGCCGGGCATGATGACTCATGCCTGTAATCCCAGCACTTTGGGAGGCTGAGCTGGGAGGATCGCTTGAGCCCAGGAGTTTCAGACTAGCATTGGCAACATGGTGATACCCTGTCTCTACAACAACAGCAGCAAAATAAACATTAAAAATTAGCCAGGGGTTGTGGACTGTGCCTGTCATTCCAGCTACCGGGGAGGCTGAGACAGGAGGACTGCTTGAGTCCAGGATGTCAAGGCTGCAGTGAGCTATGATTGTCGCACTCCACTCCAGCCTGGGCAACAGAGCAAAATCCAGTCTCAAAAAAAAAAAAAATCTTGTGAATGAAGGGGAAATAACCAAGGCCTTCTCAATTCACTGAAAGGAAGATTTATTTCTCTGTAGCTTTCAAGGACACTCTTAGTATTAAATGAAGAGGGTTTTTAAAAACGGGTAAAAAAGACCAGCATGGTGGCTCCCGCCTGTAATCCCCTATAATTCCAGCACCTTGCAAGGCCAAGACAGGCAGATCACTTGAGGTCAGGAGTTCGAGAGCAGCCTGGCTGATGTGGTGAAACCCTGTCTCTAGTAAAAACACAAAATGGCTGTGAAAGGCTGAACTTTGAGCTTGACCTTAGTGCTTAAGCTATCAGAAAAGTAAATAATGATTCTTATATGCTGTGTTAGAGACTGCTTGTTATCTTCAATATCTGTTCTGTTTTACTCTTCTTTGGTAATGTAATTTTTTGTTTTTAGCTGACCACGTGGCTATAGGGAATAATGATGGTGATTTTTAACCTCATTTGCAGCTAGATACACTATGTTGTTTATTTCTTCTGGCCCACAGGATGTGAGCAGATGTGTTATGTGTCATTTCCAGGAAGTATCATTAAAGGGTGGGATGTGTACCTTCTTCCTAGCTCCCATCTTCTTATGACCAAAATGAGAAGGTAATGCCTACCACCTCCGCAGCCACTTGAACCACAGAGTGATCTACAGAATGGATGCAATGCACAGCAGAGAATGAAATAGAAGGTTTCTTGGTCCCTATCATCATGAAGCTGCCCCGCACTGTTCACCATCAGACCTATACAGTAGAAGAACTAAGTTTCTCTCTTGTACAAACCATTTTTTATTTTGCACACAAACCTAATCCTAACCCTAGTGACTTAAAATGAAACTTGAAAAGGAACCTAAAAGCTAAGCTTCATTTCAGCACTTTTTAGACTCAAATGATCTCAAAGCCTTTAGTGACTTAACCCTGAGGAGCTTCATACTTACTTGTCCATTTGCTGCTGCTATAATAGAATGCTACAGACTAGGATGTTTACAGATAATTCAAGTTTATGTGGCTTATAATTCTGGAGGCTGGGAAGTCCAAGATCAAAGGTCTGCATCTTGTAAGGGCTGTCTTGCTACATCATAACATGGTGGAAGGCAGCACTTGGCAAGGAAGTACATGAGACAGAGAGAGGAATGTGGCTGAACTCCCAAATTAATGAACACACTCTTGTAAGAACAGCATTAATCCATTCATGAGGGCAGACACCCTCATGACCTAATTGACTCTTAAAGATCTTACCTCTTAGTACTCTTACAATGGCAGTTGAATTTCAACGTGAGTTTTGCAGGGAACATTCAAATCATGGCATTCATTTGTTTATGTAGTTTGGAAACACTACCACAATTTGGGAAAGGAAAAAGGAAATAATTGAGATGGCCAATATCACACAGCTTTTGGATTATTGTTGTTTCACCACAAGCTCCAGGAATCTGCCACCCTTGTTGGAGTTGCCTGGGCACGTCCACAGGGAATTCAGAGGTGTCTCATTTCCTCCAGGGAAGCACTTTTCTCCGCCCCCTTGAGCATGGTGGGTGCAAGTTAGGTTGGTCTGAAAGTGAATGTGCTGCTGTTGGCTGTTCTAACATGTCTGTCATAAGAAGCGACAGAGTGAAATCTCATTACTGAGGACTACACTTCTGTAACAAACTCAAGAAGAAATATATTTCCATAAAAGTTAATGATGCTATAGAAAATTTTTTTAAAGTGAAGAACAACTTCCATGAATAAATTCTCAACTAGTTCAAAAGAGCAGGAACACAATTTGAAATGCATGATGATTACCAAAACATCAGGAGTTCAGTCTAGGTCCTGCTGCTTACCCCAAAGAAAGCCAATCACTGAGACAATGATTGACTCAAAGATCACCCCAGAGTTCAAAGTGGCTGCTGAGGCTCTAGGCATTACCTCTTGCCAAGGAAGAAGGCTTTAATCAGGTGCTGCAGCTGAGAAGATGGAGATCAGTCTCAACTCCATCTCCCTGGACAACTAAAATTAGGGGTTTATATAGCAAGGAAGAAATGTAACAATGTGTAGGAAAATGGGAACTCTTGAGAGGCCTAAGGAAGAAATCACAATGAATGAGGGGTCTGGCATCTCATTGTCTGCATGTGGTGATCTAGTGAGTTTCAGTTCTTTATACTTTTTGAGAAGTCTGGGGTCCTTTACTGAGGAAGGAACTCAGATAAAACAAATATAAGTTTCAGGCTTTAAGACCAGAGGGGTAAATTTCTATCTTCATCAGAAACAACTGTCTTTGGGACTACTGGGTGCATTTCAGTCCCCTCTTTTATCAATTCCTCATTTTTGGGAAATCTGGTCATAGATCTTTCCGGCTGCTCTTTCGTAATATCTAAGGCAGATATTACTTCTAAAATCACAGGGTATACAGCCTGTAGTGATATTATTCATAATATCTAAGGCAGATATTACTCCTAATATCACAGTGGGGGTACACCCTGTAATGATATTATTTGTAATTTCTAAGGGAGGTATTTATCCAATATCACAGGGGTGGACATCCTTTGAAAATATAATTTGTAATGTCTAAGAGAGATATTACTCCTAATATCTTCTTTTAGATATTAGAAATAATATCACAGGGTGTGCATTCACCCTGTGGTGATATTAGGAGTAATATCTTCTTTAAAATATTACTAAGGTTTTACATGACCTTGTGGCTTCTGCTGTCTTGAATGGCCTTTGACATCCCCTACGGGAGCTCACTCTAGAGGCCTTCATCAGAGGCCACGTGAAGACAGAGGCTCTGATACCATATTAACCATATTTTTTTATGTATCCTGACGCTGTGACATCTAGGGCCTTGCTGACCTTGCCAGGCCTGTCCCTCCCAGGGTTAGCCAGTTCCTAGAGACAGTAAACAACTTGCCCATGAGCGTGCTTTTCACACACAAGCTAACCAGTCCAGAGCTCGTGCCCCCAGTTACCTACTCCATCAGCCTTCCACAGGACTCACACACTCTAGGCCACTGTTCCTCTGCCCTAAGCACCCCAGGGCCAGGTACCTGACAACTAGGGACAGCCCCTATACCCAGAGCCTGCTGAAATTACTCAAACTTAATAGCTAACCTTAACCCTGCTCATCTTGCCTCACTCCTTCCCGTGGAAACCACCATAAAGGCTCTGCCCATGTTTTTCCATCACTCCTGCCTTCTCGCTGACCATAGTGCCTCCCTATATGGTGCTGCATGGCACAGCACTTTCCCTTCTCTTGGGATCTGTGAGTAACAAACTCTCTTTTCAGTGGCAATCAACTCTTGATCTGTCGGTCTCTCCATGCCTGAAGAATAATGCAACCCATATATATTTTTAAATCAACTAAAATTTATTTAATTAAGCATAAAGTTACTTTCACATTTGGCTACACCCACAGTAAATACAGTTCTTGGCATAAGGCCATGGCCTTTAAAATTTAAAGCCTCCCCACCCGCAAAATTACATATATAAAACTCCCACTATTGTTTCTATAATAGTGGATTTGTTCATCAAATTAAAATAGTTATACTATCTAGAATAAAATAAAATGGAAATAATTTACTCATAAGATTCATATTTAAATCATCCTTATTTACAATATACTATCCTGAGAATTATAATTCCATTAAGTTTCAATTTGAGCAAAGTGTAATCATTGAAGTAACAGCAGTTACTTCAACTGAAATGAGAACAGTCAAAATGACTTTTGAAGAGAGCAAAAATATTGTCAGTTTTCTTGCCGTGATTCTGGATCTTCAGTAGCAGGCTCATTTGAAGGCAGACTCAACCCTGAAGGGAACTCGCTCTATCTTCAGAATGTGGGGGTGGGGGGGGCAAAATCCAGGTCTTGGGGGAAGGTAAGGAGGAAAACCCCTCGGTGGATAGACATTTCTCATTGCAAATGGAGCACGTGGTGGACCTGGGACATCCCTTGGTGGCAAATAATCTGGAGAAGCTCCAAACATGGTTCCTGGAGGAGGTGGAGGGAAAGGAGGTCCTCTTCTCATGAACGGGCCCCTCATATCCACTGGCAACAACGGACCTCTGATTGGAGCGAGAGCTGCAGGAACAAATCCAGGTCCAGTTGTTTCATTTTCAGCGGGGAGAGATGAATCAGGCACATTTAAATTACCAAGATTATCTTTGGTATCATTT